CTCACATTGATATTTTTGAATTTTGAAGTTCAGTCATTGGGCAAAATCCAAACCCCTAAATACAAACATTAGAAATGAGAGGCCATCTTCCCAAATAAAATTAAAAAAAAAAAAACAGATTTGCATTTCTTTTATCATCACTAACAATTAATTTGCTCCATAATCTTTAATTTCTTCTCATCTCATGATACAATCCAGCTATAGGATTATTCTAAAGCCACTAAACCATTCATTACTACCATACATAGAATCACCATTAAATGATCTATATGAACCAGTAATAATCTTCATCAGTTTCTTCTGCAGCCAAGATTTTGAATATTAAACGTACCAAAATGGTGAAGTTAATTATAATCAGATTGGTCTTTCTGCAGAGATGTGGATCATTGAGATGGACTCTGAAGTGCTTGTTAACATGTTGAAGGGCTCGGCGTCATTCCCTTGGTGTTTGTGGTCCATATGGGGAGAGATTTTGGACTTAAGTATAATGGTAGCAGTCAAAATATCTCATGTTTACAGAAAATGTAATTAGGAAGCATATGTGTTGTCAAATTATAATTAAGAAGGGGAATGGAATTTATCTAAACCGGAAGTGCAGCAATGTTGTAGAATCGGTGTTGAGAAACTGAGAAATGCAGTCTGATAATGGATTGAGTTGTGTTACTTGGTCACTCTTCTTAAAATCGCATTTGCCCTAAGGTGCAACCAGGTGATTGTAAATTGGTTTCCAAGATGAAACAATTTTCCGGCTTCTGGTAGGCATGCACTCGTTTATCAGAACTTCACGAGCCACCAATGGAAGATGCTCAAATTTTTTATAGACAATGTGATGGATAGTAAAAGAATTATGGTGTGGCATGCACGTACCCCTGCCCCGACCCAGCTTGGCTTAGTGCATGTGTGAAAAGCACCCCCAACCCCCCTCACATGCATGAAAATATTATATAGTGCTTTCCTCCCATAAAAAGAAAAGTCCGGAACAAGAGATTTATCATATGCTTATAAGAAGACAAAAGACAAAAGTAAAAAACAAAGATAGGGAATTCAGATTCCCTCCAACAATATGCTTCCACCAATTGTGCTTGTAAAACCAAGGTTTTAAATATCAATCTGGTTCAGGCGGGCGGTATAAGACCTATCTACCCCCTCAAACTAGTTAGACCCTGAAAAGGTTACCGTAGGGGCATATCACAGGATCATCTATACGATATATATGGCCGATATGCCCCGATACGATGCGAAATTTTAATACTTGTGTCAAAAGAAGGTATTCCATGGGTTCGGCTCAAATGGTTATAGTTTTCCACTTTTTCTTTTCCTAGAATCATCCGACCCAGGCTGATAATTGTAATATTTATCAATGGTTTACCTTTTTGTATAGATTTTTGAGAGGGGTAAGGCTTTTATGTCCCCCTCCCTCATCTCTCTCTATCTCTCTATGGAAAGGCTATTTATTATGCTTAAAGATTCAAACTAGGAAATAAACAAAGCAATTTATTAGCTGCAGGATGATGACTCTTCATGGAGAACGGATTACATGAATTTGATGACTGTTTTACAGGTTATGAGACTAATAATAATGCCCCCCACCAGTCATAATAAGTGAGAGATTGGGTGGTTGACTCATAACTCATATATACACTTTATGAGTGACCACAGCCAATGATACAACCATTCGTCGGATAGTCTGAAATTGTGAACGAATCTGAGGAAGCAGAGCAGCAGGAGATAAAAGAGTGGATCAGTGCAACCATCTGTAATCTTAATGGGCTTCACAATCCTTTTGCTTTTGAACTTACTTTCATAAAATCCAATTGGAGTCTATTTCATAAAATCCAATAGATGTGAGATGTGTGTTAGGTCATGGACGCCTAAAAAGGGAAGGCATTCATGACTATTGACTAGACCTGTTAATTCATGGACCGGGTTGGATTGGGTTTGGGAAGGTTCGTCTTGTTGCCTCTTTATTAACAAAAATTGTCCGGGCGAAGCCTTGATATATATATATCATATGGTAATGTTTATATATAAAATACAAAACATAATAAAAATGTTTCATTTAGTCCACCCCATAAATTTTATTATTATGTGTACAGTTGGAACAATGACAAGTGGGGGAACGAATCAAAATTCAAGGAGGATAGTGAATAGGTGGAGGGTGTTGGTGGATAAAACCCAAAAAAATAATAATAAAGCCCACGAGGTGGATTCTATTCTAAATTTCTCAAAAAAAAAAAAAACTAAAAAATAACATATTATAGACATTGTCGAATAGGATCCCCCGCCAACAAAACACGCTCCAACACCCTGCCAACTTGATCTAAAACCACACATCCACTATGAAATTGAGGCCCACCATAAAAGTAGAATCTGCCATGCATGAGATGTGTGGTGTCCGTGTCAGATGATGTTAATAGGGTATTAGAACGCATTTTATTGGCAGGTGATCCAAACTCTATATATATTATCTATCAAGTGGATTCAAGACGGTATAGACAAATACCATCTCTACCCCGTGGGCACCAAAGTTTCATATTTCCCCAAAACCTACATCTATTCAATCCAAATATCTCTGTAATCCAGCTTAATGAAAACTAAAATAGAGACAAACCCAAAGTTATCCTCATTTGTCTTTTCACTTTTGAAAACCAACTTATACAGCAAGACCCGATTATGATATTAAAAGCAGGAGGAAGAAACAGGATTTATGTAGATGAAACCGACTTCAATTCGTATAAATGGTACAAGACTTACGCGATGATGACGACACAAACTCAAAAGCACGATTTCATTATGAATACTGTCCAGCATTAATTCATGTTAGATATTGGTCTTCAACTACTCGCACGGTTTTATGCCAAACTCTGCAGAGAGAGAGAGAAGCAAAATCAAAAGTCTAAGTTATGGTTGGGAAAAATAAAGAAGGAATTAACTTCAACCAGTCAACTGCAGCTTTCCATTTGGTGACTTCCATAAAAACTATGGGTAGTTGAAGAAAACCATATCAAATTGTTTCATTACTCCTACTTCTGGTTGGTTCTCTGTGGTCTGAATTGGTTAATGGTTATAACTACTTCTAAACACTATAACACTACACCTCCCGAGTAGGAAATTATCAAATGGGAGTAAAGGCCGCCATATAATTAATGTCGTTGGTGGAACCTCAATCCAATTGTCCAGATTGCTACATTGTCATGAGTGATGAGTTTTTGAATTTTTTGTAAGGATGATAAGAAGAAAACCAATAGAACAGCAACTCAAAAGCAAACAATAAATGAAAGACCTAACGTGCTGTTTGTCAAGATCTGACAGTTAAGATGTAGTGAGCTTTCACATAACAATTTTGATAGTTCAAAGATTATTTGGTTAGAGAAACTCCATTTCTAGCTAGCTTTTCTAAATAAGCTCGAAATGAGTTTTTCACGTCTTTTTGATATGCATCTTTTGGTAGAAAGATCTTCCCCAAAGTCTAACCAGGTTATGGTAGGAAATAACCCTGATTGTAGTGGGGATATTGATAGATATGTTATACATTCTGATGATGAATGAACGAATCAGCCCAATGTGATTTCTCTTAAAAAAAAACAAAAAACAAACACATAAAATTCAAGACCCAAAGGATGTGAATATGGCACTTTATGTAGATTCCTACAAATTTTCAAACAAAAAAAAACAGAATAAATTGAATAAATATCAAATGCGAGCCCAGCCCGGGTCTCCCACAAGCAAAAGTTCTGTACATGTGGCATCCAGCCACATCAGGAATATCTCTCATACATGTTAAATATATTAAATTCATAAGATGTTTAGTGTATGCAGAGATTTGCTTACTGGACATTAGTGTGTAAACCATACTACGTAACCGATCATAAGTGAGYATGCAGTGTTTTATATACATGGGACCCACATGTGGTGTAAGCCCATCAGTGGCGTGTTCTATTGTAATTGGTTGTAGCCCAGTTCACACACACTTGCGTTGGTGGCAGAGATGCTTGTTCAACAAATACTTTGCACTTTGGGCTCAGTTTATATAGAATATAAAATCTTGTATTTTGTATGTACTTGTATTTATACTCTTTCTGAGCTGAGCCTCGATGATAACACGGGCATTGTAGATATGGTTGCAATTTGTTGCATTAGTACAAATGCATGGAGAGAGCAAATGAAAAGAATGTAAATTATGGTTTAATTTTGTTTTGGGTTTTGCTTTATTCTGCTGTTTTACTTCAATCAAATAAAATAAGGTAAAATTTTAAACAAAAAAAATAAATCAGAATTTCCATCCAAATCATTTGAAGTACCATAGTTTTACATCTATTTGCACTGCAACCAAAGACAGCCTATGTTTTTGATGGTCCAATGCTTAATGGAATGAACAAATGCCCATTGTAACTCTATTCCTTCCAAACTGAGACTCACGGCCATTTCTTGTGGCAAATTTCCATCATAAATTAAAAAGAATAATAATAATTTCAAACTGTGAAAATTGAGGGAACATTCCTTGTTTACAAAAGTGGGGAAAAAAACAAGCTTCCAAAAACTTGAAATAAATTGCCATATCAGCGGTCACCCACTTTCTATATATTTTGCTTATCTGTTGCTGACATAATATGAAAGAACTTCCCTGGAAGCAAAAACAAAGAATAATTGGTTTTCACCATTCTTAGATTGTGAAAATAATGAAAACACATGAATTATGCAAATGTTATTTTTCTTGAGAAAACCACCTCAAGGGAATGGTCATATTGACGAACACCTTAATTAACAATCCAGTAGAAAAGTTACCATTCAATTTGCACAACTCTAATTTTCTAAGCCTTCAATTGGAATAAATGAATAAACAAAAGCCCACTCCAAAGCTCCTCTCCTTCAATCTTCAAACCATACCACATGTTGCAATCTTAAAATAGTACTCCACAAGATTCTTTTCTGAAAGTGCAAGTACAAGACAAGCAGATTTTGAAGAGGGGAAAAAAGAATTGAATGAAAATTTCTGATTACGATCCAGCTAACATTGGGAAAGCTTGAGTTAATTAATTAGCACTATTATTTACATTCTACACAGTCACAATCCAAATCGTACCCAAAATTGGTAAGCTAGACAACGTTAAACTCTCAGAAATATGTACAATTCATACAAGATAACGTGTATGTAGTAATCACTTTTTTTGGTAAATAGTGTATGTAGTAATCACAGAGATATTTACATGTACAACAGTTCTTCGGACCCATTATGCTTGATTTATCAATCCTCACAATGAAATGCCATCCACCCCATGTTCATGGAGACTGTCCACCTCGTGCTCATGGGAAGACTCACCACCGGCAAATCCCAGGCACCTCAGTCCGGCACAAAGCAAGTGTTTCTTCATACTTAGAAGCATAGGCAAAGCCCCACAACTGCAAAAAGCATTACCAAATATAAATATGCATCTAATCATCAAGCCAATGACTCAGTGGACTTGGAAAAACATGCACCAGTCATACCTCAACCTCTTTCACTTCAAAGTCTTCAGATCGTGCAAGACAGGAGTTCCCATAGGTTTCTGAGGATGAGCTCGATCCACTCATTCTAATAAGAAACGACTTCTACATCAGGATTGATAATTCATCTTTTTTGATACAAAGGAAAATACATCATAGAATTAGCCCACAAAAAGTGAAAAATAAATTGAACATGGAGTACTCACAAGTCTCCATCCAGATAAAGAGCAAAGTGACCACCCCCACCCAATGCCAAAAAGTCAGTTGAGCACAGAGTGAAATAACGATTCAGACCTGCATATCTATAGTAGTCAAGCACCAATGAAGATTTGATTTTGCCAGGATTCAACCACATTCACTCGTAAAAATCATGATATTGCCATGGTAGCAGCTTCTTTACATCAATCAATTTAATCATACAATATTCTAAAGTGCACAATAGCTTTAAGGATATACCAAATACAGATATGGACATTTTTACCAAAAAAATACAGATATGGAGTTATGGACATGCATATGGAAACTAGGACAGTGTTGCAGGGATTCTCCTAAATGGATAATGTGTCGTGTCAGACACATGTCCCAGTCCAACACTCCATGGATTCTTGAGAGACTTCTACATAACTTTTCTTTCTCATCTCCTAGCTTATTTGGCATAGATGAACAGCTAGTCTACTAAACACTTTTCCATAGACGCATCTGGAAGTCCATGTATTCCTATCTTGCCGAGTATGACTCTTGGACACACATTTCATTCCAACTCCTGTGTCCATGATGTGGGCGCCGGCAGCAGCAGCAGTAATTTAGTGTTCTCAGCAGCAGCAATTTAGTGTTCTCATCCTATCTTATCTATTCAGTATTCTTACCCTACTTTCAGTAGCAAGGATTAGTAGGAGTCTTATCTTATCTTGTCAGTTCGGTAGGATAG